AGTGGGGGGGGGGGGGGGTGGTGGGATGAAAGGGAAGGGGTTTGAGTTTAAAAATGGGAGATTTAGGTGAGATCTCAGGAGGAAACTCTTCCCCCTGAGGGTGGTGAGAGCCTGGCCCAGGTTGGCCAGAGAAGCTGTGGCTGCCCCATCCCAGGAGGGGTTCAAGGGCAGGTTGGAGGGGGCTTGGAGCAACCTGGTGTGGTGGGAGGTGTCCCTGCCCAGGGCAGGGGGTGGCACTGGGGGGGTTTGAAGGTCCCTTCCCACCCAAACCATTCTGTGATTTCCATGAGACAGGGCTTTCCTGCCACCACTGCCGTCCCCATCCCTGGAGGGGGGTTCAGGGTCAGGGTTGACCAAGGCTGCGATGCTTTTCTGGCAGGAACCGGTGACCTTCGAAGACGTCGCCGTCTATTTGAGCCACGCAGAGTGGGAGGCCCTTGAGGAGGAGCAGAGGGAGCTGTACCGCAGCGTCATGCTGGACAACTACGGGCTCTTGTCGTCCCTGGGTAAACCTTCCAATTTTAATTCCAGGGCAGGGATGGGGGACACGACAGGGGCTTCCGTCATATTTGTGTCCATCAGAAGTGCGTGGCTTCCAGCACTTTGAGGGACCCCATCAGTGTCTTTCGAACGATGGCGACAGGGTTGGGATAACTGCTCCGAGCACCTGGTGTCCTCCAGTCTCTTTGAGAGACCCAGACGCAGGATTTGGGGGTCTCTCTGAGCTGCTGTCCCTTGTGGAAAATGTAACCACCGTGAGCAGCCCGTCCTGAGGTCAGGCAGGGACCTTCTGGGGGGGTCCTGGCCACGAGTCAACAGCTCTGTCCCCTCCCCTGGGCAGGAGTGTCACAGAACCATAGAATTGTCGAGGTTGGAAGGGACCTTGAAGACCAACTAGTTTAAGAGTAGCACCTACCAAGCAAGGTGCGGGGGAGCAGCCCCATCAAACGTCCCCTGAAGCCTTCAGAGGACTTGTCCACTGCCACCAGGACGGGACGGAGATCTCTGATTATCTGGGAGGACATCCCACAGCCAGGAGCTGCTCCCAGGATGAGCAGCAGATAACGGCTCACTGGGAAAGCCTGTCAGCAGAGCTGGGAGTCACTTCCCATCCTCCCATCAGGGCTTTTCCCTTCTCCTTGGGAATAAATTCAGCGCTGGCAGCAGCTCCGGTGTCTCTCTTCCTTTTTTTTTTTCCCCTATTGTGGTGGTTTTTCTGCTTGGGCTTTTCTAGTCGGGTTGGTGTGTGACTTTATTTTCTCCTGTCAACAGTTTATTCCTAGCGTTTGGGTTCAAACATCACCCTCTGTTCCACCCCCCAGGTTACCCAGGCCCCAAACCTGACGTTTTACTCCGGCTGGAGCGTGGGGAAGAGCCGTGGGTCTCCGCACCCCTGAGCCCAGTGAGGGGGGACGGACAGGACAGCCCTTCTCCAGGTGAGCAGGAACAATCCAACACCCCCTGCAGGACCACGTCCCTCAGTGGGGAGTGGTAGCACCTTCCAAAGGCCACCCCAAGCTCCTCTGTAGGTGTCACCACCGTATCTCTGGGGTCCCCACTTGCCTAAATCCCTCCTCACTGCCTGTTTTGAGGTGTCTCCCATGTCGGGCAGCTGCAATGTCAAAGGGAAACAGAGGCTGCCCCTGTCCCCTTCGACCCACGGAGGATCCTCCCCCCAATTCAGTTACCTGTGGAGCAGGGTGGTGGCCTTCTGGCTGCTGGCAGTGGACAGGGCTTCCTTCACCAGGAAGGTGACATCTGTCTGGTTTTCCTACAGGTGAGGAGGACAGGAGGTGGCTGGAGGAACCTTCTTCAGGCTGGTGGCCTGGTGCAGGGGAGCATTTGCCAGAGGAGAGGACAGAGACCCCCCATGAAGGTGAGTCCTGGTCTTCCCCCTTCCTCACCTCCTCAGCAAAGAGCCCCAGGTGGGCTCCAGCCCCTTCCCTGTCCCCAGGTGTTCCCCTGTCCCCTGTGCTGCTCCTGGTCATTGCTGCACAGGCTTCTCCTGCCCATCCAGGCGAAGATGGGGGATGTGGACACCAGGAGGCCCCTAAACTGGGGAAAACGGTTTATTTTTATTCCCCCCCCAGTCTCTCTCTCCCCATCCCATCACGATGTCCCAGCCAGGAAGATAGCAAACTCTTCCCAATGTTCTCTCAGCAGGAGGACAGCGCACGCAGTGGCGTCTCCGGTCCAGAAGGCTGTGGAACAAGTTCAAGTGTCTCGGGGAGGGGAGCCAGTTGCCGGCCAAGGTGGCCAGCAGAGGAGTGGAGCCAGTGGAAAGCCAAGCCCAGACACAAACAGCCTCGTGGCCTGGGGAGGGCGGAGAACTGGAGAATGAACAAGGGGTGACGGCAAACGTCAGCCAAAGCGGAGGATTCCCGCTTCATCCGGCGACGGAACAGCAGAAGGAAAGGTCAGATCCTCAGGAACACCTGCAGGGTGAGGACAGGGAGGGATTTCACAGGGGCAGCCCCAAAAGTCCATGCGCCTTTTCCCAGAGAAATTCGGAACTGTCTCTGGAGGAGCTGATCGTGGTGGTTTGGAGGGACCACTCTTACTCTGTGCCTAGCGAGGCGCAGCTCTTGTGGTGCGCCCGCCGTCCCCTGAGGGAGCACAGCTACTGCAGGCAGGACGAGGACAATGTCTGGATGCTTAAAGACCACGATTACTTTCACTTGCGGAGGATTCATTACGAGCACAGAGTTCATAACGTCGTCGGTCACGCTCGCAGAGCCCGTTCGGTCCCTCGCCGCATGATGGTGCGAAAATCCCGCATCGGGCGACTCGTCAGGAAAGCCAGGAGGATTTTGTGGCATTACAGGCCTTGGGTCAACAAAAAACTGGAGTTCCCTCTGGGTTCCCTCGACACTGACCATATTTCGGAACCCGAGGCCCTTCTTTCCGAGGCAGAAGACAACCACACAGAGGGAAGGTGTGGGGTGTGTTCTTCTCCTGCAAACCAGGAGGTTGCGTCCCCCCGACCTCGGAGGGAGAGAAGCTCCCGAGGGGCGACGTCAGAAGGGTTTTTCCCTCCTGGGGTGTCTTCTGTGGCCACCTCCCAACCCACAAACGTGGCTGTGGAAGTGAAGAGGAAAGGTATGCACACCAAGGCCTACATCAACTGCGAGGCAGAGCTGATCCAGACCTTGAACGTCAAGGGGAATGTGAAAGCAGATGAAAGCAATTATCTGAATTACGAATCGATGCGGAATGCCTATAAAATGGTCATCCAGAGCGTCGACCACATGCTGGACTCCGTTCTCCAGAACTTGGAGCTGGCCCACTACTCAGGGAGTAAGGATCTGTGGCCCCTCGCCGTTCCCATCGACGGCTGAGCCGTGGCGGTGGCCATGCTGGGCTCCATCCAGATGAAGGCTCAGGACCTTCTTTCCTGCAGGGAAAAAAATCCCTCCCTGGAGCCATCGGAGGGAAGAAACAGCTTGGGGAGGCGGGTGAGCGGGTGTAAAACTCGTTATTCAGCACCTGCTGGGCAAACTGGGATCATCTGGGAGGCTTGGGGGGAAAGCCCAAAGGAAAAAAGGCAGGATGGGGGTGGATAAGAGGAAACACAGGAAGGTGGAACGTGAAGGACGGGCAGCCAGTCAGTAGCTTGTCTGGCCGAGCTGATAGCTGCAGTCTTTCCTAATTAAAGTATTTTAAATTATTGTCCATGTTGTCGCACTCACTGGTCTGTCCCACCCGCAGGCAGGCTGCTCTGGGAGTTTTCCCACTATTAATTTAAGCAAAGTGAAGGGAGAAAGATTTTGAGGCTACAAAATTAAAGGGGGACCTCGTTTCTTGATGAGAATGTGCAGTTGCCACTTAGGAAAGCAGCTGGTGATGTACCATGCAGAACCCTGCAGCGTTCTCTGTGTAAAATTACTGAAAATAAAGAGCCATTCAGCAGATTTCTAGCAAAACTAGGATGAATTTGTAGTGGTTTGTGTCAGGAAGCACAGCCAGCAGGACTGGGGCAGTGATGGTCCCTCTGTACTGGGCACTGGTGAGGCCCCACCTCGACAGCTGGGTCCAGTTTTGGTCCCGTTATCACACGAAAGACATTGAGGGGCTGGAGCGTGTCCAGAGAAGGGCAACGGAGCTGGGGAGGGGTCTGGAGACCAAGGAGAAGGGTCTGGAGAACTTGTGAGGAGCAGCTGAGGGAGCTGGGGGTGTTCAGCCTGGAGAAAAGGAGGCTGAGGGGAGACCTTCTGGCTCTCTCCAACTCCCTGAAAGGACGGGGTAGCTGGGGAGGGGCGAGGTGGTGTCGCTTCTCCCAAGGAACAGGCGATGGGAGGAAACGGCCTCAAGTTGCTCCAGGGGAGGTTTAGGATGGAGATTGGGAAAAATTCCTTCCTGGAAAGGGTTGTAGAGCGTTGGCAGAGGCTGCCCAGGGCAGTGGTGGAGTCACCACCCCTGGAGGGATCTAAAAGCCGGGCAGACGTGGTGCTGAGGGACACGGGTCAGTGGTGGGTTTGTCAGATGGTTGGACTCGATGACCTGAAAGCTCTTTTCCAACCTCACCGACTCCATTATTCCCTCAGGCAGCGGATTCCCCTCGCCGTGGGGACCCACCTGCCCGGAGAACACACAGTATCCTCACATCTTTCCCTGGCCCTGACAGGAGTCGCCTCCGGAGGCTGAGGCCCTGTCAGCGCCCCCCTTCCCGCTGCTGGGATCTCCCTCCCATCCCACTCGGCAGCGCGGGGCCATGGCGGCGCCCGGCCCGGCCCCTCGGGGCGGTACAAAATGGCAGCGCCGGGGACGGGAGGAGGAGGAGCATGAAGAGGGGAGAGCCAGCCAATGGGAGCGGCCAACGGGCATCACGTGGGACGGGAGGAGTGATGGCAGAGCGGCACGGCTTCCGGGTCAGGAAGCCAGGCGGTGTTCGTCACAGGAAGTGCGTTAGCGGATGTTTACAAGGGAAGACACGCCCCTTCCGGCGCCGTTGCCGTAGTAACGCGGGACGCGGCCTGGTGGAGCCGGGGCCGCCGCTCCCTATTTTTCCCCCCCTGGGGCTCCACCGGGACCAGGCCCCGGCGGTCCCCCAGCGCCGATGGACCCCTGGGAGCGGGGCCTGCAGCGGGGTTGGGTCAACCCCCGGTCTCCGCTCCGGCTGGGGGCGGGGGGATGGAGAACAGCCCTCGGGAGAGGGGCCTGGGGGGGGAAAAGCTGCCCATGGGCTGGTAAAGGAGCACTGGCAGCGCAGGAAGCCCCCCGAAAGCTTCGGTGGGTGCGCAGGGGAAGGAGGAACTGGCCGGGGAGGGAATTTTCCAGAGCAATGGTGGGGTTTTTTCCACATTTTGAAGCCCCCCAGACTCGGGCTGGAGACCTTCCTTCGGGCAGGCCTAGCCGTGCCGCTCGCTGCCCCCCTGACAGGGTGAAACACAGAATCACAGAATCTTCTAGGTTGGAAGGGACCTTAAAGATCATCTTGTCCAACCGTCAACCTAACTGACAAAAATAGACACCCACACAACAAACAAGAAGCATCACCATCACTAAACCATACCTCCCAGCACTACATCAACCCCTCTTTTGAAAAGCCTCAACCACCTCCCTGGGCAGCCCATTCCAATGCCTGAGAACCCTTTCAGTGAAAAAATTTTTCCTAATATCCAGCCTGAACCTCCCCTGGCGTAACTTGAGGCCATTTCCTCTTGTCCTGTCGCCTGTGACTTGAGGTCATGACACGTGGGTGACATGAGACTGGGGGGGCAGGGGGGTTGGAACTAGACGATCTTTGAGGTCCCTTCCAACCCAAACCATTCCATGATTCAAGGATTGGAGCATCTCCCTGATGAGGAGAGACTGAGAGAGCCGGGACTCTTTAGTCTGGAGAAGAGAAGGCTGAGGGGAGACCTTATCAATGCTGACAAGTATCTCAAGGGAGGGTTGAAGGAGGAGGGAGCCAGACTCTTTTCAGTGGTTCCCAGTGACAGGACAAGGGGCAACGGGCACAAGTTGGATCATAAGAGGTTCCACTCAAATATGAGGAAAAACTTCACTGGAACAGGCTGCCCAGGGAGATTGTGGAGTCCCCTTCTTTGGAGATTTTCAAACCCGCCTGGATGCTCCTGAGTAACATGCTCTGCCAAGCTCTAGGCAATCCTGCTTCAGCAGGGGAGTTGGACTAGATGATCTCTATGGTCCCTTCCAACTCTAAAAAAATGCAGTTAAAATGCAGTGAAATTTGATGCATTGAGTAATTGTTCAGGCCTTCGTCTGCAATTCCAACCACTAGACCTCGACGACAAAGAGCCAAGAATAATTCTGGAAATGAATTCCTTTGCTTGAGTGTCTGTAAACGCTCTTAATGTCTCCAAACTTTGCATTAAAGTGGCACATGAGCAGTAAAATCACCTTTTCTGAGGGAGCCGAACATGCTGCAGCCTCCTTTTTTGCCTGAAAGGTAGTTGATTCTCCCGAAATCTCTGATTTCTCACTACAAATAATCTGAGATCTGATGCAATGAGTCCTTCAGGCTCAGGGGTTTTCGTAAAGTATTTCCACGGCGTCTTGCACTGAGGCCGGTGCTCGTGTTTTCCAGCTGCCCTCTCTTGAACTCACTCTGGCTTCTGTGTAACCACTTTCCTGGATTTCTTTCTTTCCTTTAGTCACGACAAATTTCCTAAAGGCCCTGTGTCTCATGTATGTGGCATCTCCTTGATTCACTCCTCTTGGATTTCTTTCTTTCCTTTAGTCACGACAAACTTCCTAAAGGCCCTGTGTCTCACATATGTGGCACCTCCTTGATCCACTCCTCCACGACGGCGTGTGAGTTGTTCTCTCAGTTTATCCTCTCTTTAACCCCCCGTTGCTGGTGGAACTCTCCGCTGTGCCTGTAGACAAGGGCAGAGCAGTGTTTTAGGGAGCTCAGGGCTCCCCTGGCACTGGGAGCTGCTCCGTGCCCAAGATGCTGTGATGAAGAGCTGGGCAGAGGAAGAGGAGGAGGAGCAGATGCTGTGATGAAGAGCTGGGCAGAGGAATTGGAGGAGGCCCTCGATACCAGTTTTGGGGAGATGCTTCCTCCAACCCACCTTTCGGGGTGGCAGAGGGGGCTCTTCCCGATCCCTCCGATGTCCCTCGCTCTCCCCGGCGTCCTGCGGTGACGGGTCGCTCCCATCGACCGTGGCTGGACACCAGGTGACATCAGGGGACAAGGTCCAGGCCGGGGAGAGGGCGGTGGCACCGGGACGTCCTGAGCCGGGCAGCCCTGACCCCCACGCTGCGCCATGAGGCTGTGGCTCCTCTGTGGCTTCGTTGCCACCGTGGCCCTCGTGGCCGTGGCCGGAGCCGACCACGGCAACTCCAAGAAGGTGGCGCGGGGAAGAGAGGTTGGTCGTGTGCGGAAAGGGGGGTAAATTTGGGGAATAACGGGGCTGGGAATGGGGGAGAATGTGGGGAGAGGGCCATGGGGAGGCGGAAACCTCCCCTGGCGCGGCTCTGGCACCCTGGGGGGCAAACCTCATCCCCAAGGGTTACGAGGCTCTGTCACCAGCACCCCGCACCATGTGGGGACAGGCCAAATCCTGGGAAACTGGCTTTTCCAGCTTCCCCATTCCCTGTGCTGCTCTGGTGGGGCTGGGGATGGTGTTGGGCCACCATCATGGTGGGGGAGGCTGCTCTCTACGGTATGCTCTGCCAGGGCTCCTCTTGCAGCCCCAGAGTGGGGCCAGAGGAGGCCACGGAGATGCTGGGAGGGCTGGAGCCCCTCTGCTGGGAGGGGGGGCTGAGAGAGTTGGGGGGTGCAGCCTGGAGAAGAGAAGGCTCCAGGGAGACCTTGGAGCCCCTTCCAGTCCCTCAAGGGGCTCCAGGAAAGCTGGGGAGGGACTCTGGATGAGGGAGGGGAGCCAGAGGAGGAGGGGGAAGGGTTTGACCCTGCAAGAGGGGAGATGGAGCTGAGCTGTGGGGAAGAACTTGTTTGGTGTGAGGGTGGTGAGAGACTGGCCCAGGTTGGCCAGAGAAGCTGTGGCTGCCCCATCCCTGGAGGGGTTCAAGGGCAGGTTGGAGGGGGCTTGGAGCAACCTGGGCTGGTGGGAGGTGTCCCTGCCCAGGGCAGGGGGTGGCACTGGGTGGTTTTTAAGGTCCCTTCCCACCCAAACCATTCTGTGACTCTTTGGTGATTCTATGACCAGGAGCCAAAGTGACCCTGGGTGGCCGTGGGCTCTGGCGGGGACGGTAATGACCCTTCCCTCCACAGGGGACGCGCGTCGGGGGCCATCGGCGGCACAGACCCTGTTCGGGGTGTTTCTCCGTCCTGAGCGAGGTGAGCTGGGCCATGGCTGCACCGTGGGGGCCGGGGGAAGCTGGATGGGGGGAAAGGAGGACACTTGGTGCCACCAGCTCCTCAGTGTCACCCCGAGGAGCTCCTTCTTCTAGGTTGGAAGGGACCTTAAAGATCATCTTGTCCAACCGTCAACCCAACTGACAAAAATAGACACCCACACAACAAACAAGAAGCATCACCATCACTAAACCAGACCTCCCAGCACTACATCAACCCCTCTTTTGAAAACCTCCAGGGATGGTGCCTCCACCACCTCCCTGGGCAGCCCAGTCCAATGGCTGAGAACCCTTTCAGTGACAAAATTTTTCCTAATATCCAGCCTGAACCTCCCCTGGCGTAACTTGAGGCCATTTCCTCTTGTCCTGTCGCCTGTGACTTGAGGTCATGACACGTGGGTGACATGAGACTGGGGGGGCAGGGGGGTTGGAACTAGACGATCTTTGAGGTCCCTTCCAACCCAAACCATTCTATGATTCAAGGATTAGAGCATCTCCCTTATGAAGAAAGACTGAGAGAGCCGGGACTCTTTAGTCTGGAGAAGAGAAGGCTGAGGGGAGACCT